ATGTCTAACATATTCAGAGATTTGAGTAGGGGTACAGAGTGATGTCTGGGGCCAGAGTTGGATATTATCCTAATAGCAGCTTTGTGTTGAGTAATTAGAGGACGTAAATGATTTTGGGTAGTAGAGCCCCAAGCACAAATACCATAGATGAGATATGGATAGATAAGGGAGTAATAGAGAGTCACCGGGGTACATAATATCTGATCTTAGAAACTTCATACCTTCTCTTGTGTCAGTTACATTTATAAAACCCTTTTCTTAAGTGCAAATCCTGTTCTGAAACTCTTCCTGGACAGATGTAATAGATCACACACTCATCACACCAGACATAAATATCTCTGAATTCCCCAGTCAAACTTAATCTGTGTAAAGACACTATACAAATAAAGGGACCTGTCTATGGAAGTCATTCCCTAATGAATTGAAAAGCTGTCCAACCTTTGCTTTGTTCAAAAATAAAACCAAAAAGTACCTAATTTCATCTTCACCGTTGCCTACCTAGTGCTCTAACTCGCACTGTACGAGTGCTACCCACTTCCTCAATATATGTACCTAAGCCATATTACTCTACCATTGTAATCTCTGATATCATCTGATATCTTGGTTTTTATTTAAAGTGCATATTCTACTGCATTTTTCCTTGAAATGATCCTCAAATTGTGCTACAGTGAACCAATGTATAATCCTGATGTTTTATCCTGATATTTTATCCTTATGTATCCTAATGTACCTAGAAATCCTTGTTCATTATAGTGTTTCGTTATTATTGTATATTGTTCTAATCTTTATTTTTGTTGACCTGTAAACATTTTTTTGTTAATTTTACTGTAATTTATCTGCTTAAAATTGCCTGTACCTGTACCTGTAAAGTAAAGCGTTAAAGCATCTATAAACATTTGTTGTCAATTCTACTGTAAATTATCTTCTTAAGATTGTGTTAGTTTAAGGACTTGCCCAAATCACTATGCATGCTAGTGGCTTTACAAGATTGTATAATCAACATCATTCTTATGTTCTCTCTTAACCCCAATGTACCTTCTTGTATATAAATAAATAAATAAATAAATGCCTCGGTGATTTTGTGGTAATGGTGAAATAACTGAGACTTGATCTTCCTGCTCTAAATCCATGTTGGCCTGGGTTGTGAAGGTCATTGGTCTCCGTGAAACTGGTGACCTAACTCCTGATCACTCTCTCAAATACTGTTATTATGTGGGACGTTAGTGCAACTGGTCTATAATTCTTTGTCAATGCTTTGCTCCCTCCCTTGTGTAGAGGGGCAATGTCTGCTGCTTTAAGCGCATCTGATATTTCCCCTTTGTCCGAGCTCTTCCTCCACAATATACCGAGTGCCTGTGCTACTGGCACTTTGCATTTCTTTATAAATATTAAATTTCATGAGTCTGGACCCGAAGCTGAGTGCATGGGCATGTTGTAAATTTGTTTCAAAATCTGTCACGCTCCTGTTGATATCAGTTGTACTGTATTTTCAAGGGTTCTAATATCATGCATAAAGCAGTTGTCTGGATCTTCCACTTTCATGCTGTTTATTGGAGTGCTAAAGATGTCATCATACTGTCTTTTTAGGATTTCATTAATTTCTTTGTCATCCTCTATGTCGTACTCAGTAGTAGGACTAATGATAACTGTGGTTCACAGACAATGTCGATCACTTTGGGTCACACTCCCACCTTACTCTGGGAGTTAAAACCGGTATTATGTGTTTTGCGGACATCACCTCAGTCACTGAGTTCACTTTATGCATACAGCCACCATCCCAGCACATCACTAACCTCCTACCTAGAGTTGACTGTACAATGAGTATACCAGCTGCCTGTATGGGGCACTCTTCACTCCTCATTGCGCACTTACTCTTCACACTACGTGTTTGCTTACAGCTTCGGTCTCTCGTCACAGACACACACAAAAGGGTAGTGTGTCCCCGTGGCCTTCCTCCTACCACGGTAACCGTAGTTGGGGAAACGGCTCTGGCGAGGTTACATATTGGCTCTACACGCTTAACTCGCGGGCACTTTCTGGAGTGCCACCCTGTTCCTTATTGTCCAAACTGCATTGTCCCTCTTACGGTCGTGTATATCCTTGTTGAATGTCCTGACTTCCAGGATGTGCATGCGTCTTACTTTCCGATTGTCCCGTGCGGTCACCTGTTCCTCGATAGCATCCTTGGTGAATCGGATGCCTTTGATGTTTGCCTTGTGTGCTTCTGTTCTCGTATTGGCATCCTTAGTGATATTTAGCGCCTTTTAAATATCCCACACTTTTGATGGTGCTACATAGCCTCCCCGGCTTGGTGTCTAAGATCTCTAACATTCTTAAACATGTATTATTTGCTGACGATATTATCTTCATTTACTCAGACCCCAACCCTCACACACTAAATAATGTTGTAAATAACGATTTAAAGTCCACCCATGGATGTCAACCAATAAACTAAGACTAAACATCGAAAAGATCTACTAAATTTTATTTGGAAGCAAATCAACAGATGAAATTCAGCTTCAGATAGACAATGTTAACATCAGCAATAAAAATGATAAAAAGTTACTTGGCCTATACTTAGACAAGAGACTTCAACACCCACATACAACACATAATCAAGAAAGTCTAAAAAACTGTCGGTATACTCTCTAAAATCAGATATTATGTTTCAAACTCAGCTCTTCTCTCATTACACTTTGTGCTAATCTATCCCTATCTCACATACGATATCTGTGCATGGGGTTCAACCAAAACTGCAAACTACCTCAAGCCCATCATCACCCAGCAAAAATCTATCAGAACAATAATAAACTCTTTTCAGACAACACTCAGCCCCCTTGTTTAAATCCCTAAACATACTAAACATAACTCACTCCACACATTTTCTTGTGCCATTTACATGTACAATACCATGTTCCTAAATGCAAATCCTGATCTGAAACTCTTCCTTGACAGATGTAATTGAACCCATAATCACCACACCAGAAATAAATATCTTTGATATCCCCGGAGTCGAACTAAATCTGTGTAAAGACACTATGCTAATAAAGGGACCTAGTCTATGGAACTCACTCCCTAACGAATTAAAAAGCTGTCCAACCTACGCTTTATTCGAAAGTAAAACAAAAAATTACCTAATTTCCTCCTCTTAATTTCCTACCTAGTACTTCAAACTCGCACTGTATCTTGTACTACCCACACCCCCAATATATGTGCCTGAGCCATACAACTTCATTGTAATTACTGCTATCATCTTGTATCATTGTTACTGAATGCAAATTTTACTACATTATACCTAGAAATAATCATCAAATTATGATACAATGTTTCCTGTTGATAATCCTCAAATTTTACTATAATGTACAGTACCTACTAATTTTCTTCAAATTTTCTTTCAATGTACCTTTTAACATTTTTAAATTTTACTACAAATTACCAGCTTACAAACATCTGTTAGCGTTTCGGGCCGGTCCTTAATCTATGCGTGTTAGTGGCTTTACAAGAATGTAAAAACATAAATGCTATGTGTTCTCATAAACCCAATGTACCTTCTTGTATGTAACTAAATAAATAAATAAAAAGCAGGACAGGGGTCCCAGATCCCTTGCACTCCGACACTGGCCTAACTGGTCACTTGGACATCCCAGGTGGCAGGACTTTAGGCTTGGAATTCTCGCTGCCTACTTAATGTTCCTTGATGTTGATAACCATAGACAAAGTGTTAGACAAATCTCAAGTCAAGCCTGGCCCAGGGCCGGGCTTGCGTAGTAGAACCCCATCCAGGTAAGGATTACACACTGCCTTCTTGTAGTTGCTCAGCTGACAAGAGGCTGTGAGGAAATTGACACTCGGCTCCTCATCCCAGCCTCGAACACAGAAACCGGTGATTTCAGATCACCAAGATTCTGAGTTGCAATCTGACTGCAACCTACAGATCTTCGTCCACAGAAACGTCCACGGAAAGTTCTGCACAGTTTTGAGGTTATCCCTGACTCTGCTACTGTTTAGCCGTCATAACCTTAAGAAATCCCAGACCTCTACCGAGCTGGCTGTGTTGCATCTGTCTCTCATGACGTTACAGGGTGCAATGGCGCCTGCCCGTGACGGCGACAAGTGTAACTCGGGTGCTCCCGCCATACCACGTGACCTCAGGTCACTTCCTCATTGGTTACTCCTGCCAGCATGTGACCAATCGCCTCTTTTCCATCGGGTAATTTTGGTCTCGCTGCTTATTTGATTTTTGGCAGGAAAACTACTAAGGGTTGGCAGTGATCCACTATCTTTGTCAAAAAGGCTAGGCTTTACCACCTCGCCATCGAAACTTAAAACAGAAATAATTTAAAAATAGGCTTCTTTCCTCCCTCAAACCATAATAAAATAAATGTTGGATACTTCTACCTATATACAGACGGAATATGACTCTTGACAAACGGGAAGAGGCGCTTCAGGCGATGGTAACTGTGACGGGGTGAGGAGAGGGAGGGACGGGAAGCACTGATTTCTGATTGGTTGCAGAAGATGGTGGGGGCGTGAAGGGTAGAGATGCAAGGTGGTGATGCAAAAGTTAGGGGTAGGAGGGGGGGGGGTGGTGTTGGTAGTGGTGTAGGAGGGAACGAGGGGGGGGGGAGAAGAGGGAAGGCAAGAGCGAGCTGACAACATGTTGATTTGCAACATTACCCATTACATTTTCCATGTTCCAGTCTTGCAGTATGGCAACACTGTGTGGGTGGTGATACTGCAACACAATTACAATTGTGGGTGATGATAAAGGTAGACTCCCAGAGTCCTCAGGATCTTCTTCACTTAATCTTCTTTCAACATGATTTAAATATTTTATTTAGCAAACAATTTATGCCTTTTATTTTGTATTGAATTATATTTATATATTGTTTTTATAGACAAATTTGGAGTTTATGATGTGTGGTTTTTACCAAGTGTCAAAGTGACATGTGCAGTTCACGTTTTATCTAATTTTTGCATTTTGTTTTTTTTGATTGCAGACAGATTCTGACCACTTGAGATTAGGTCCTATGAAGGTTATGAGGAAGCAGTTTAAGGTTGGTTCAGTTTGCTTATTATTATTATTTTTTTCTTTCTCTTACAGTTGCTCTTGTGTGTTATATATATATATATATATATATATATATATATATATATATATATATATATATGTTTCATTGAATATGACCGCATATTCTGTATTTATTATTTTCTGGTTTAGGGCTTCTATCCCTCTAACTATTTTCTTAGCATCAGGGCTTAATTGAAATAGGAGTTCTCCAAAACTCATTTTCGTACTTTTAAGGTGAAGAAAAGAAGTGATTTACTATAGAGTGTATTACACTTATTTGTATAATTTGCACGACGTTTCGAGCCTCCATGGTTCATTCTCAAGTGAACAGATCTTACAATACTAGTTGATTTTATACCCGCATTAGGTCAGGTGATAATACAATGAAGGTGAAAACATGGGGGGATACATAAGGGATAAACATAGGGGCTGCAGAAGGCTTATTGGCCCATACGAGGCATCTCCTATCTAAACACAAAGATTAATCCAGTGTAATTGGCCTGTTATGTTGGACATTGTCTTCTGTGTTGGCATCGATATGTTCTTGTCTTGTCCTTACTAAGGACAGCATCGATATGTTCTTGTCTTGTCCTTACTTACTTGTCCTTGTCTTAGTAAGGACAAGACAAAAACATATCGATGCCAACACAGAAGACAATGTCCAACATAACAGGCCAATTACACTGGATTAATCTTTGTGTTTAGATAGGAGATGCCTCGTATGGGCCAATAAGCCTTCTGCAGCCCCTATGTTTATCCCTTATGTATCCCCCCATGTTTTCACCTTCATTGTATTATCACCTGACCTAATGCGGGTATAAAATCAACTAGTATTGTAAGATCTGTTCACTTGAGAATGAACCATGGAGGCTCGAAACGTCGTGCAAATTATACAAATAAGTGTAATACACTCTATAGTAAATCACTTCTTTTCTTCACCTTAAAAGTACGAAAATGAGTTTTGGAGAACTCCTATTTCAATTAAGCCCTGATGCTAAGAAAATAGTTAGAGGGATAGAAGCCCTAAACCAGAAAATAATAAATACAGAATATGCGGTCATATTCAATGAAACATGTTTGAAAGAAAACCTGCTGCCAGTATACACCAATATATATATATATATATATATATATATATATATATATATATATATATATATATATATATATATATATATATCTAATCTAAGCTAAGCTAACACTTCTCGGCCTACTATGCAAGGCCCGATTTGCCTAATAAGCCAAGTTTTCCTGAATTATTATATTTTCTCAATTTTTTTCTTATGAGATGATAAAGCTACCCATTTCATTATGTATGAGGTCAATATTTTTTTATTGGAGTTAAAATTAACGTAGATATATGACCAAACCTAACCAACCCTACCTAACCTAACCTAACCTATCTTTTTAGGTTAGGTTAGGTTAGGTAGCCGAAAAAGTTAGGTTAGGTTTGGTTAAGTAGGTTAGGTAGTCGAAAAACAATTAATTCATGAAAACTTGGCTTATTAGGCAAATCGGGCCTTGCATAGTAGGCAGAGAAGTGCGTTCTGGCTATTAGGTACGACATATATATATATATATATATATATATATATATATATATATATATATATATATATATATATATATATATATGAATGAAAACTCACACCCCAGAAGTGACTCGAACCCATACTCCGCTTGATGGTCAAGCGGATTAAGGCGCCCTGTAGTTACCAGTTGCGTTGCTTCTGGGAGTATGGGTTCGAGTCACTTCTGGGGTGTGAGTTTTCATTCGCATATAGTCCTGGGGACCATTCAGGCTTGTTCGCATTTGTGTTCCTCACGTGTGCCCCAAAGAATGAGGTGATTTGGTGAAATGCTATGCCCAAGATTACCATCCGAGTTGCCGTCGGGGAAGTGGCTCAAATAGCCTCGGCTATCACTTCCTTTTGACGGCCGTGATGGTCAAGCGGATTAAGGCGCCCTGTAGTTACCAGTTGCGTTGCTTCTGGGAGTATGGGTTCGAGTCACTTCTGGGGTGTGAGTTTTCATTCGCATATAGTCCTGGGGACCATTCAGGCTTGTTCGCATTTGTGTTCCTCACGTGTGCCCCAAAGAATGAGGTGATTTGGTGAAATGCTATGCCCAAGATTACCATCCGAGTTGCCGTCGGGGAAGTGGCTCAAATAGCCTCGGCTATCACTTCCTTTTGACGGCCGTGATGGTCAAGCGGATTAAGGCGCCCTGTAGTTACCAGTTGCGTTGCTTCTGGGAGTATGGGTTCGAGTCACTTCTGGGGTGTGAGTTTTCATTCGCATATAGTCCTGGGGACCATTCAGGCTTGTTCGCATTTGTGTTCCTCACGTGTGCCCCAAAGAATGAGGTGATTTGGTGAAATGCTATGCCCAAGATTACCATCCGAGTTGCCGTCGGGGAAGTGGCTCAAATAGCCTCGGCTATCACTTCCTTTTGACGGCCGTGATGGTCAAGCGGATTAAGGCGCCCTGTAGTTACCAGTTGCGTTGCTTCTGGGAGTATGGGTTCGAGTCACTTCTGGGGTGTGAGTTTTCATTCGCATATAGTCCTGGGGACCATTCAGGCTTGTTCGCATTTGTGTTCCTCACGTGTGCCCCAAAGAATGAGGTGATTTGGTGAAATGCTATGCCCAAGATTACCATCCGAGTTGCCGTCGGGGAAGTGGCTCAAATAGCCTCGGCTATCACTTCCTTTTGACGGCCGTGATGGTCAAGCGGATTAAGGCGCCCTGTAGTTACCAGTTGCGTTGCTTCTGGGAGTATGGGTTCGAGTCACTTCTGGGGTGTGAGTTTTCATTCGCATATAGTCCTGGGGACCATTCAGGCTTGTTCGCATTTGTGTTCCTCACGTGTGCCCCAAAGAATGAGGTGATTTGGTGAAATGCTATGCCCAAGATTACCATCCGAGTTGCCGTCGGGGAAGTGGCTCAAATAGCCTCGGCTATCACTTCCTTTTGACGGCCGTGATGGTCAAGCGGATTAAGGCGCCCTGTAGTTACCAGTTGCGTTGCTTCTGGGAGTATGGGTTCGAGTCACTTCTGGGGTGTGAGTTTTCATTCGCATATAGTCCTGGGGACCATTCAGGCTTGTTCGCATATATATATATATATATATATATATATATATATATATATATATATATATATATATGTCGTACCTAGTAGCCAGAACGCACTTTTCAGCCTACTATGCAACGCCCGATTTGCCTAATAAGCCAAGTTTTCATGAATTAATTTTTTTTCGACTACCTAACCTACCTAACCTAACCTAACTTTTTCTGCTACCTAACCTATAAAGATAGGTTAGGTTAGGTTAGGTAGGGTTGGTTAGGTTCGGTCATATATCTACGTTAATTTTAACTCCAATAAAAAAAATTGACCTCATATATAATGAAATGGGTAGCTTTATCATTTCATAAGAAAAAAATTAGAGAAAATATATTAATTCAGGAAAACTTGGCGTATTAGGCAAATTGGGCGTTGCATAGTAGGCTGAGAAGTGCGTTCTGGCTACTAGGTACGACATATATATATATATATATATATATATATATATGTCGTACCTAGTAGCCAGAACGCACTTCTCAGCCTACTATTCAAGGCCCAATTTGCCTAATAATCCAAGTTTTCATGAATTAATTGTTTTTCGACTACCTAACCTACCTAACCTAACCTAACCTAACTTTTTCGGCTACCTAACCTAACCTAACCTATAAAGATAGGTTAGGTTAGGTTAGGTAGGGTTAGTTAGGTTCGGTCATATAACTACGTTAATTTTAACTGCAATCAAAATAATTGACCTCATACATAATGAAATGGGGTAGCTTTATCATTTCATAAGAAAAAAATTAGAGAAAATATATTAATTCATGAAAACTTGGCTTATTAGGCAAATCGGGCCTTGCCTAGTAGGCTGAGAAGTGAGTTCTGGCTACTAGGTACGACATATATATATATATATATATATATATATATATGTTGTACCTAGTAGCCAGAACGTCGTACTCGGCCTACTATGCAAGGCCTGATTTGCCTAATAAGCCAAGTCTTCCTGAATATATATATTTTTCAATATATTTTCTTATGAAATGATAAAGCTATCCATTTCTTTATGTATGAGTTAATTTTTTTATATTTGAGTTAAATCTAACGTAGATATATGACCGAACCTAACCAACCCTACCTAACCTAACCTAACCTATCTTAACCTAATCTAAACTAACTCAACTAAGTCAATAATTTATGTTCCTAATATAATATAATAATAATAACTCAAATAAACTAATTGGAAACAATTTATTAAAAATAAAGAAAATCCCTCGGCCTATTAGGCAAATCGGGCCTTGCATAGTAGGCCGAGAAGTGTGTTCTGGCTACTAGGTGCGACAGATGTTTATTCAGGTATCAGACATATATATATATATATATATATATATATATATATATATATATATATATATATATATATATATATATATATATATATATATATATATATATATTATTAAATATGACCGAAAAAGTAAGATTAATAATTCTAACACGATTTTTCTCAATCTTTCGTACATTACGCTTCACTGTTGGAGGTAAATCAAAAATCACTTCTCCAAAATTCATTTTTATTTCTAGTCTGACGCGACACGGGCGCGTTTCGTAAAACTTATTACATTTTCAAAGACTTCACAAATACACAACTGATTAGAACTTGCGTTTCTCTGATTTTATATCTACATTTGAGTGAGGTGGGAAGGGTGATGTGGCATTAACACAAGACAGAACAATAGGGGATATTAATAGGGTATTAAAAGTATAAACACAAGACAGAACAGAAACAATGGGTATTGAATAGAAGTGTTTGTAGAAAGCCTATTGGTCCATATTTCTTGATGCTTCTATATTGGAGCGGAGTCTTGAGGTGGGTAGAATATAGTTGTGCAATAATTGGCTGTTGATTGCTGGTGTTGACTTCTTGATGTGTAGTGCCTCGCAAACGTCAAGCCGCCTGCTATCGCTGTATCTATCGATGATTTCTGTGTTGTTTACTAGGATTTCTAGTAATAGAAATCCTAGTAAACAACACAGAAATCATCGATAGATACAGCGATAGCAGGCGGCTTGACGTTTGCGAGGCACTACACATCAAGAAGTCAACACCAGCAATCAACAGCCAATTATTGCACAACTATATTCTACCCACCTCAAGACTCCGCTCCAATATAGAAGCATCAAGAAATATGGACCAATAGGCTTTCTACAAACACTTCTATTCAATACCCATTGTTTCTGTTCTGTCTTGTGTTGATACTTTTAATACCCTATTAATATCCCCTATTGTTCTGTCTTGTGTTAATGCCACATCACCCTTCCCACCTCACTCAAATGTAGATATAAAATCAGAGAAACGCAAGTTCTAATCAGTTGTGTATTTGTGAAGTCTTTGAAAATGTAATAAGTTTTACGAAACGCGCCCGTGTCGCGTCAGACTAGAAATAAAAATGAATTTTGGAGAAGTGATTTTTGATTTACCTCCAACAGTGAAGCGTAATGTACGAAAGATTGAGAAAAATCGTGTTAGAATTATTAATCTTACTTTTTCGGTCATATTTAATAATATATGTCTACAGGAAAGACTGCTACCAAAATATACTAATATATATATATATATATATATATATATATATATATATATATATATATATATATATATATATATATATATATATATATATATATATATATATATTTATATATATATATATGTGTGTGTGTGTGTGAGAAAGCTGCATGAACGCGCAAGCCATATATCACTAAGAACTCTTTGACCCGGCCAGGATTCGAACCCATGCCGTCCAGGATCACCTCTAAATGTAATGGATCCATGAGTGTCGTCGGGGGTTGATCAGTCAGGGAGCTTAGTTAATAAGCACCACGACTGACCAATCCTTATAGACGATCATTGGTGCGGTGGTCACAGTACTGTGTACGTTTATGGGTGATCCTGGACGGCATGGGTTCGAATCCTGGCCAGGTCAAAGAGTTCTTAGTGATATATATATATATATATATATATATATATATATATATATATATATATATATATATATATATATATAATAGTATATTTTGGTAGCAGTCTTTCTTGTAAACATTTGTTGAATATGACCGAAAAGGTAAGATTAATAATTCTAACACGAATCTTCTCAATATTTCTAATGTTTTTCTTCACTGTCGGTGGTAATAAAAATAACATTTCTCCGAAATTCATTTTTTAATTGTCTGACGCCTGAACGCGTTTCGTAATTCGTATTTCATTTTCAAAGACTTAATTTACACACAAATTCTTCGTACTTATACTCTATTGGATGAGGTGATATGGAACAAAAGTTTTGGGTGAGGTGACAAACACAAGACAGAACACGAAACAATGGGTATAAATTGGATAAGTGAACATATGAATGGAAGTAACTGCAGAAGGTCTATTTGCCCATACTTCCTCTTGCTGCTTCCATATTGGTTCGGGGTCTTGAAGTAGGTAGAATATAGTTGTGCATTAATTGGCTGTTGATTGCTGGTATTGACTTTTTGATGTGTAGTGCCTCGCTTATGTCAAGTTACCTGCTATCGCTGTACCTATCGATGATTTCTGTGTTGTTTGTTAAGATTTCTCTGGTGATGGTCAGGTTGTGGGAAGAGATTATGTGTTCCTTGATGGCTCCCTGTTGCTTATGCATTGTTAGTCGCCTAAAAAGAGACATTGTTGTCTTGCCTATATACTGAGTTCTTTGGGGCTT